TCAGCTGTTCTCCTCTCATCATCGACAATGCTTTGCATTCACTGTACTCACGCTGGTTGCCCACAGTGCTTCAAACGTCAACAGGGCCTCACCTACCACCTCCGCACTGTACACCGAAACTCTAATCGGGTTAATTCTGACGTCCCTTCTGTGGGCGAAGATTTTCATGATTTGGATGGCCTTGGGTGCATCTCACCAGGTGCCGAGAGTGCACAACCTTCCTGGTCCCAACCTCCCTCACCTGAGCCCCAACAAGCCCCTCCACCGAGGCCGTCACAGATTTTTCATCTGCACCTCACTGATAAGTCATGACATTTTCTTTTGTATGCATGGTTCTCACTCCACATAGGTGTCCCCTGTGATTCCGAAGGAAATCCACTTCCTCCTGGTACACCACCTCTTCCCAAGACAGCTGCACAGCCAACAAATTGGTCACCGTTCGAGAGCGAAATTCAGTTTCAGACCGCGGATTTCTTGTACTGCTGCGTTGAGATGTTGGCAGGAAACATTGACGAACTTCTGGAGATATGGGCTTTAGATAAGATGAAATCTGATCAACTGGGTCCCTTCACCTCATACGAGCATATGTACTCCAGCATCGACGCAATTCAGCTTGGTGATGCACCATGGAAATGTTTTACTGTGAGCTATACCGGGGATGTACAGCCTAGTGATCCCTCTTGGAAGTCGGCGGAGTACAAGGTCTGGTTTCGGGATCCTGAGGTCATCATGACCCAGATGCTCAACAACCCGGAGTTCAATGGCCACTTCGATTATGCACCTTATGTTGGTCTTGACAGATCTGGGAAGCGGCGTTGGAGTGACTTCATGTCAGGCAATTATGCTTGGCGTCATAGTGTGAGTCTAGATCATTTACTTCCGAAACTTTTATTTCAAGTTTGTCTCATTTCTAGGATAAAATCTATGAAGAAGATCCCACTACATAAGGAGCGTTGTACTGTCCCATCATTGCAGGCAGTGACAAGACAACTATTTCTGTTGCAACTGGCCATGTCGAGTACCACCCATTTTACATCTCTGGTGGCAACCTCTTCAACACAGTTCGCTGTGCACACCGTAACACTGTCGTGCCTGCTGGTTTCTTAGCGATCCCCAAAAGTTCGTAAAATATGACTGCCAATATTTCGTAACTAATGACATTGCCAGGTGACCGAAAGTATGATAACGACCCCACCTTTCGCAAGTTCAAGCAGGAGTTGTACCATGACTCGATCACAGCTATCCTGAAGACATTCCGTCCAAGGATGATCAAACCTGTGGTCTGCCGCTGCCCTGATCGCCATTTTCGGTGTGTGATCTATGACCTTGCCACCTACATCGCTGATTACCCCGAGCAGGTTTACCTTGCCGGAATTGTTCAAAATTGGTGTCCAAAGTGCATTCATTTTTTAGAAACTTTAAGCTTTGATTAAATCCCTATCCAGATGCACGCCTCTTCCAACAAACCTAGATGGGTTGGCGGATAGCCACTCACAACAATTCACAGAAGGGCTTGTCAATGAGCTCGATTCGAAAAGATTATGGGATGAGTATGGTATTGATGACGACATTACCATGAGTTTTTCTCGTCTTCAACAAACATCCATTCTTATCACTCTACAGCCATTTACCTTCCACTTTCCATGTGCCGACATCCACGAAATGCTGTCAGCGGATCTACTCCATCAATTGATCAAGGGTATGTTCAAAGACCATTTAGTCCAATGGGTCGGCGATTACCTTTACCTCGAACACGGCAAAGCTCAGGCTAATGAGATTTTGGATGACATTGACTGCCGGTTGGTACCTTCTTCCTTCCCACTGTCAAGATTACTCTGAAACCTGTCAAGTATCGCAGCAGCACCATTATTTTCAGGACTTCGCCGCTTTCCTCATGGTCGCCGGTTCAAGCAGTGGACGGGTGATGACTCAAAGGCTCTCATGAAGGTAAAATCTTTTTCATTAGGTATTGTACCATTACTTAAAACAAAAATAGGTTTATCTTCCAGCTATCTCGGGATATGTACCCCCCAAAATGGTGCAATGTATCAGCGCATTTTTGGATGCCTGCTACATTGCCCGTCGAGCCGACATCACTCAAGAATCACTTGCAGCACTCCAGACGGCCATTGAGAGGTTTCACACACACCGTGAAATTTTTCGTACATCCGGTGTTCGACCTACCGGCTTCAACCTTCCCTGCCCACTAGTAGCTACCACTTTTATGATAAAATACAGGCAAGTGCCTGCACACCGACATCCACACTGCCTAATGAATTTATGAAATGAGAAGAGTAGGCAAAACTTATGAAATGTATTTCATTTCTTTACCAGTGCTTCTCATGACTATTTCATAACTGTCCTGAGACATATTTCAATACTACTTCATTGCAATTTCATTACTGCCTGGCCTTCCATTTCATTGTCTACCCAGCATTGTTTCATTGCTATTTCATTCTTGCCTGACTTTTAATTTCATTGCCTACCCAGCCTTATTTCATTGCCTTTTCATATCCTTGCCTGGGCTACTTCATATTCATTTCATATCCCTGCCTGGACAATTTCATATCCCTGCCTGGGCAGTCTCATATCCCTGCCTGGGCAATTTCATATCCTTGCCTGGGCAGTCTCATAT